AACAAAAGTAACTCGACTAGTCAAGACTGCTGAAAAAAATTAATTAAATAATGAAAGCAAACAAACTTGTTTTTTATGAAATTTATGAAGCAATTATAAATAAAGAAGTTTATATAGAGGTATTTGTTTCTCTGATTTTTTTTTTTTTAATATAGAACACATGATTAATTATCTGGATCACATGATGGTACATTTTAAATTGATAATATTAGCACTATTGAATTTCATAACCTATTCTCCAGAATAAGAATCTGATTTATTCTAGTGTAAGCTAATGATATTTTAATTATGTAATTGGTTAATCTGAAAGAGTCATTATATCAGTTATTCAAGAAAAATGAATTGTATAATGATTTGTTAATCAATTTTTTCTAGGTATGTTATGTATAAGTAATCGAATTGCATTAATATATTAACATATAATAATTATTTTATAAAAATTTTCAAGGTATTTGTATAATGTATCTTAACTTAGATAGCTGACATGGCTAATAAGCACAATGCATAATGATTGATTTTAGAATAATATATAAATGAAGAATTTCACTTTATGGTTCTTGTTAATTAACACTAATTTATTAGGAGAGGAAAATTAGAAAAACTAATAATTATACACTATTTAATCTTAGTTCTCTGCACCAACCCAAATGATCATCAGCCGAATGACATGTAACAGACAATAATGAAATATTAACCAACTCACCTTGAACTTTGTTGCAGTCAAAATTAACAACTTTGACTATCTTAACTACATCATTACAATCAACTATTTTGGCACAAGCAACAAAATTAAATGACTCAGTAGCAAACTCTTTAGCCAAAAAAAGGAAAATTGCTGACCAAGTGGCTAATACAGAAACTCCTAATCCTCCAATAAAAACTACTAAAAATTTGATAGCTACTAATAATATGACTACTACCAATAAGTCTTTAGGTAGTAGAAAAGAATTATTAGTAGGTTCTGTATGTTTTATATATATATATATAAATATATATTTTTTTTTAAATTTTAATTCATATATTATTTTCTTATATAATTTAGTTGCAACCCTAAGTTATTATCCCTTCCATACCTTCTCTACTTAATAAAAGTCTAGGTTAATATTTATTTTATTTATTTAATTATATTTTATATTCTTTACTATATTAGTTAATTGTATATATTATTTAATAGTGTTACCTATTACTGATTCACGTATATTGACAAAAATCTTAAGCATCAGACAAAGTAATAAATCACAACTTAAGCATCTAGCTAGAGACCAAGCAAAACTTGAATATCTTATCAACGAACAATGATTGCAGCTTGAAAATATTCTAAAAAAGTTAGATAATGCTGAGGAAACATATAATTCTGTTGAGATTAAAAATAAAAGGAAAAAGCTATAAAAAAAAATAGTAGATTTTTTGTTTCAAGTAGGTTCTTATTATAGCATTAAGCTATTACTTTTTTGTTATATTGATATTTATATTTATTTGTTGCATATATTTTAGAAAGCAATTTGACAACTTTCATCTGAAATATTTCATAAATATAAGCAAATAAGCAATAAAGAAGTGAAAACGCAGCTCAAAGATAAGTTAGGAAAAGACAAATATTGTGCAGAGCAATTACAATATTTGAAAGAAAAAAGAATTTTTATTCAATAAGTTGTGGAATGAAAAATTTTACTCAGATGTCTGTATCAGTATCTTTTACTTTTATTACCTTGCCGGTCTTTTCTCTTACAAGTTATTTACCCAATATCAACAGATGACAATTTATTTATATATACCTACTTAAATATTACAGTATTATGCAATATTAGATAAATGATCTATAGGAAAAATTAGAGGTACAATCTGTTATCCATTTTCCTATTTAAATTTATAGATATCCATAAATTTAAATAGAAAAACAGATAACAGATCACACCTCTAGAAGAAATAATTATAAGAATACCTTTAATAATTTGTATACTAATTTTGTTTATAGATGCTATCAGCAAATTGTGTCAAGAAAGGATACTAAGTTCATTGAATTAAAAAAGGTCTCTGGGGTACCTTTGGCATTAGTAAGGTCAAACTGTTTACTGAACATGATACCAAAGAACAAATGAAATTGTGAAAAGAAAATACTAGGAAAGTTTATAATAATTTATACAATCCAAGTGATCCAAATAACCCAAATTTAGCTACTTTTCTTGCTTTAATCATCAAATATACTTTTATATCTGAAGATGAATACATCTATGCCAATACAATTTGGATTTAGACAGTTTTTGAACTTATTTTTAATGAAAATTACCTTTTGGCAAAACTTGACTCTAATATTGTTGATACATGGTACCAAAAACTTTTAAAGAAAACAAGTGTCATGATATATTTTCTTTTAATTGTTTATTATTTATTTATTTATTTTACTTATTTATTTATTTATTATTATTTTTTTTTAGAATAAAAAAGATACTTGCACCTCTTCTGCAAACTTACAAGTTGAATCTTTAGATTTGATGGATGTTGATGATCTTTATGAAAACTTGCTTGATTCCAACTCTGAAAGCCATCTAAGTGATAATAATATTGAAGACAATAATAGTAATGAGAACTATGTCACAAGTTTTTAAAGGTAACTATGATAGTTTATTTTTTTTGAAGTTGTTAATTGATCGATGAATAGCCTAACAATATTTTATTTACAATATTATACTAAATATTCTATAATTTAATATTTAGTTTAGAAGCTTCTCTTCTGAATACTAATATGAATGCAGAGAAGTCTCTTGTGCAAATGCTTTTAGTTTTTCTTATATAATAGATAATATATATAATTATATAATTTGTTATTAGTTTATGTATTAACTATCAGCAGATAAATAATTTTTTTTAATATATAATTTTAAGTTTTTAAATAATGCTAGTTAACTATGTTTTATTGTTTAACATGAAAAATGCTGTTTCTTAATACATTAGTTAATAAATTTTTGTTGTTTAACATAAACAAACACTGTTTTGAAATGTATTGGTTAACAAAATTTGTTGCTTAATATATTGTTATACTAATTTTTTAATCTATTAAACTATGAAGAGTTTATTTTTCTATACTTTTAAGTATTAACTAATACTGTATACTAGTTAATATTTATCAAATGCTTTTAAAACTTTCTGATGTATATAGTATTGAAAAGACTTTTATATTGCAATTTATTAAAAAAATCAAATATCTAAGATGTATTAGTATTTTGAATATAATTTTGTAAATTCATATTAAAAGCAATGAAGTAGTAACAATGTGAAATATTACTATATTAATCTCTCAATTGAAATAATTTCTTTGTTCTCTTTGTTTATTGTCAAATACTAAAAATAAGAGGCCTTCTGGTAGTACTTTTTTCTTATTAGATAATTCTTCTAACCAAGCTTGAATCCAGAAATAACTCTCTGAGTCCATAATGTGATTATTAATATTAATAATAATTTTTAATCTTGTAATGGAGTATTTAATAGCTAATACTACAAAACTTATTTCCAAACTATATTTTCATATCTGAACCTATATAACAAATCAATAGCTATAGCCCTTTTGTAAATCTTATTGGTATTTTCAAAAACTGTATTAAAATTATTGTATATTAATATTTTAATAAATTTTACAAAAACTTGATTGTGTTTACTTAGGCATATTAATATATAAGAGGCATAGTTTAATAAATTTTCTAAAGAAAATCTATTGTTATCTCTAATCAAAGCTTCAATATTTTTATATAAATATTTTTGTTCAATTAGTACAATATTAGTAACTTCTTGCATATATTTATCTTGATTAGAGTACAAGACTCTTATTGTTTAAACAGTTTCTTATTCTTATCAAATTCACTCTTAAATAAACTCTTCAAATAAGCTATAACTTCATTATGCTCTTTTAACTATTTTTTTAATTCTAATATTATTATTATTTTTTTTTTGTTAAGGTAAGGCCTTGCTCATATCTTTATTGAATAATTTATATAAGTAATTATATAGAAACTATATAAAACTTAATTTGTACAATTACAAATAAATATAAACTATATGCAAGAATAAAAGCTCAGACTAAAAGTTAGAATAAACTAGACTAATTATCTGTGACCTAAACCTACTAAAGTAGTCAAGACTCACCTAGATTTGAATAGTTAAAATATAATTAGTAGGGATGCTATATTGAATCCACTTTGTAGATTAGATATTAAATTTTCGATTAGCGAGCCTAGCAGAAGGGCAGGTATTAGACTCATCATAAAGTTGATCTGGTAAGTTACATGGGCAGTTATAAGTAAATAATCTTTTGGTTCTAGTAGTTATATAAGAAGATAATAGTCGAGAGTGTTGGGTAGCTACAGTATTGGTAGAGATTTGGTGTGTTTTTTTCCAAGTAGAGAAGTTTATACAATATGTTTTCTATATATAATCATAGAGTTGGTTAGAGATTTTGATAAGAATTTGGATAATAAGTTGGAAGGCGTGGGAGTAAGAAATATCAAAGAATAATACAGATTATACAAATTCAATAGGGATAAGACCTTTAAGAGTTAAGTGTATAGAGTATGGGTAGAGAAAAGAAAGCTGGAGAGAGAAAGCAGGATGTGAAGAAATTGTATAAATTAAGTAATTAGTTTCTCAATAGGAAAGATTAAGATTGAAGTTGGTAATAGTTTTAGTAATAAAGAAATTAATAACTTGGATTAAAGAGTTGGGGCTAGAGCATATATACCAGTAAAGTGATGAATCAGAGAGATTGTATTGAAAGCAAAGATGAGGTAGATTAGGGCTAGGTAATATAGAGTTAATATAAAATTAAGTAAGTAGCATGTTTAGTAATATTTTAATTTTAAAGAACTTAAGGTGATTAAGTTTGGGATTGGTAAAGTTGTATGATCTTTTGTGATTGTTATTAAAGAATAGCCAAGTAGAGTTCTAGTCGATAAGATTAGAGAAGTGTGACCACTCCTGACAATGTCTTTGTAAGAACCACATTGCAATAGTTTTAGCATTGCAGATATTTTTAATAAAGCATCTGGTAGAGTATTCGATAGGTGTATTTTTCTATTAGAGAAAAAAATAAGGGTTATGGATGTTGGAGTAGTTAAAAAGTAAGGTTGGTGAGGACAGATGATTGTTAGTGAGAAGGTTTGCTAAGTTGTTGAAAGTATTGTTTGAGTGAGCTTGAACTTTGTAAAGAGATAATCTAATATTGTATGCCTTAAGTAAGTTGAGGAGTGTGTGCCAAATTGGCCATATATTAAATTTAAAGTATTTAGTAGTGAAGTGGGGGTTTGGAGAAGTTTGTTGTATTTGGAGATTACTGATTGAGAGTCAGTAAAAATATTAACTGAAGAATTGTGAGAGAAAGTAGAGATAGCGGAGAGAATAGCTAAAAGTTCTGCCTTATAAGATGAGGGCCAGTTGGAGATTTGAGCAGAAAAGTTGTATATAACAAAGTTATTAGATACTTGAGTCCAGCCAATACCAATAGTGTATTGATCAGTATCAATATTTAGAACAGAGCTATCTGTGTAGAAGATAAAGTGTTGAAAAGACTTGTTAACAAGAGAGAATTGTATAAGAATATTGAATGCTATATTATGGCAAAATAGAGAAAATGCAAGAGAGTTTACAATATTAATAGAATGAGGGATAGAGTATAAGAAGAGATTTGAAATTAGTGTATTGAATTAAATCAATATAGTTTGCATTAAGTTTGAGTTTGTTATTAGATTTTCTACCTAAAAATTGGGCAGATAGTATAGAAGAGACCTCTAGAGTACAGTAGTTAGATATGCAATATGAGTTGAGATTATATCTTGGGCAGGGCTTACAGATAATAGAAGGTAGAGGATAATAGGTAGGATAAGAAATGTTGATATCATGTAGCCAATGGTTGATTGAGAGTAAATTAGATTGGTGATATACTTTTCGAACTTGATCAATAATAACATTATTGTTAATATGAGTAAGTATCCACAGCTTGAGAGATTTACTGATTAAACTAGTTTGGTAAGTAAATAGATTTGGTCTATTAGACTGGAAGAATGTTGAAATTAACTAATTTGAGATATGAGATAAGATTGTATCTTCTAAATATTGAAACCAGGCCAGTTTTTTTTCTTTAGGAATATGCAGTAATTTGGAAGATAGATGAGACCAGTCAAGTAGTACTTTGTTATACGCAGAGCATAGTTGTTCAAGAAAAAGAATATTTTTATATCGAAGATGTTGTTTGAAGGTAGAGTATTTTGGATATACCAAAAGAATATTTTCAAGAGGTGAGTTACCTCCAAAGATGGTTTGGGACTAAGAAATATTGGAGTTAGAAAGAATAGAAATATTAAAAGAATTGAAAAGTTGTATAATCTTGAAAGTAGTAGTATGTCTGTTGGGGCCATTGATTGTAGCATTGGGGTGATAAAGAATATTAGTAGTGAACTATAAATTGTTTTGAAGTTGTTGGAGTCTAATATAAGTTGTTAAACTAAGAGTAGATATATTATTAATATAGTTAAGAAAACTACTAATATGATATTGGAGTTGTATATTCCATAATCTGTAAATATTATAAAGATTATGATTGTGTAAAGTACTATTAGGTATAGATCTAGAGAGGTGTGATTTGTGTTTTACAATAGTTAAGTATTTTTCCAAAATTTTGTTGCAAGTAGAGAAAGGAATAACAATATTTTAAATATGATATTTAGTAGTTAGAATAATAATAGTATTAATAATATAAGTTATTTGTTTGTCAGTAATGTTTTTAGTATTAGCAATATTGGCTAGCTATATAGCTTTATTTTGAATCAGTTTGATTTGCTAAGTATACTTATTATCTAAAGTAAACCAATACCCTAAGAATTTAAAGAGCTAATGGATGAGATGGAGTTAAGGTTGGAATTAAGAAAGGAGATAGATAAGGAGAGTTGTTTTGAGATAAAGATAGACTTAGATAGGTTAACTTGAATATTAGCCATTTTATAGAAAGAAGCTGCTATATTAATAATTTTGTCAAGTTCATCTTTGGATTGGGTAATCTATATAGTATTATCCATATAAGCTAGGACTGATATAGAGATATAAAGGTGGCTAATAGACAGTAAGGTAAGAGAGAGTTGTCATAATAAGGAGAGAGTATAACCAACAAATTGTTTTGATATATATGTGATAAGAGAATCATAGTAGATTCGCCAAAATAAAGGAGTAATAGTTTCTCCTTGGTCAATGCCATTTTTAACAGAGTAAAAATTAGTAAGGCCAAGATTAGTAATTATTTGGTTGGAGCGATTAAGAAGAAGATTGGATAAAATGTTAATAAGCTGCTAAGGCATTTGTAGTCAAAAAAGAGATTGTTTGAAAAGCTCAAAGTTAACTGAATCATATGCTTTGCTCATATCTTGTAGTAATAGCCAAAGTTGGTTAGATTGGCAATTGGCATTTTCGATAATGTTGTTAAGAATATGTATAGAGATAGAAGTAGAGTTGCCAGAAAAGGCAACATAGTTGTAAAATGAGAGAATATTGTATTAATATAACACATTATTAAGGTGATTTGTAAGAAGTTTGGTGTAAAGTTTTCTAATATGTTCTACTAGGCTAATAGGCCTAGTATTAGATAAATTATTGTTGAAGATAGATTTTTTAGAGATAGACAAGATATGGCCCTCTTTTCATTGTTTTGGTATAGTATGGAGTTTGAGACAGCAGTTAAAAAAAGAAATTATAGTGAGAATAAAGGAAGAGCCAGCATGTTTAATTATTTTATAGCTAATGCCTGAAGGACCACATGCTTTATTATTTAGAAGTTGGCTAATAGTAGAAGTTATTTCTTCTTAGATAAAGTCAAGTAAGATATCAGAATACTATTCAGGATTAATATTAGATTTAGGGTGGTACTCTAATTCTCAATGAGTTTGAAAAATATTGTAGTCAATGTCACGAGGTGCAGTTCAATCGTCAAAGTGTTGTTGGATATGTGATTTAATAGTTTTGGGATTAGTAATAATATCATTATCTAATTTGATATTGCTGAACTTGACAGGATCTTTGTAGTGATTAAGAATGCTATTAATCATAAAAGTAGGGTAGAATTGAAGTTTGATACATCTTTTGCTTATAAATTCGTTAATCTGTTGCCTAATTTCTTTGATGTTTTCAATATTGTGGACATAATGGATATTTTTCCATTTATTGTTAGCATCAGTAATCTATGAGGAGAGAAGATAGTAATGCAGTCAGGGATTTTTCTATATTTGGTTTGTGTAACACATTGCATTTTAGAATACTGAAGATCAGTTCCAGAATGATCTATAAAATTTTTCAGATTTTTATTGGCCCATAGTCATACTTTTTTAATCGAAAGTCTTAAATCTTTGTTATATCTATCAATAATTAATAACTATATACTCGAAAAGTAGAAGACACAAGGTTTTATAAACAATAAAAAATTAGTTAAAATCAGTTTTTTTTGCCAAAGTAAATAAGACTCAAAAAAAGGTATTTTTAAGCTTATAACTCTTAGTTTATTGAATTTCTACGCTTTTATAACTGCCTTTTTTTTATTGCTATATTGTATAGTACGTATATACTATATAATTTATTTTTTTTCTCTGCAGTATTATAAGTCTCTTCGTACTTTGTACTTGAGTTTTGTGTTTAGAAATCTTGTATAAATTTAGAAATATGATGTATAAAGACTTAATGGATAAATAATAGTTTTTTTTATTACGCCTTTTATTCATGTGAATACTTGCTTTTATACCATAATATTATACAGCTCAAATATTAATATGCTTCATATTAATAGGTTCTATATATCAAGGTTTAGAAATTTTTACTTGTACAAAAAGTTGGGCATGAATCATAAATGCTTAATAGGAGTATCCTTTATCTCTTATTTTTGATCCACTTTTACAGTATTATATATTTAAGTATGCTTTATACTAGCAGGTCTCATAACAAGGTTTGGAAATCTTTGCTTGACATGAATGTAAACTATAAAGGTTTAAGATCTAAAACTAAATTGATTCTGAGTCTAGAAATGTCCTATATCTAGTGATGCAGTAGAATTGGTTTAATAATTGCCATAACTAGTTATGACATAAGCTTTAGCCAGTTATGGCTTAAGTCGTAACTAGTTACGGCAATTATTGAAATGATTCTACTGCATCACTATATCTACTGCTCAATAAGTGGCATTGTCATATGAAACTAGGAACGGATAGTAAATAAAATTTACATTATTGAGTAATGTTATTAGAATCTTTTGTATTTTAAAGCAACCAGTTTTTTAAATTTATTAATAAGATTTTTTAAGGAATTATACTGAGAAATAAAATTTTATTTATTCAGATAGCTAAGGATGAGCGATTTTAAGTAAATTGTGTTATAATGGTTATCATGGTTTAAATATTATGATCTAACATAATATAACGTCGTCAAGTCCAGTTCTCAATAAAACATTCACAAACTCAATTTACTCTATGATTATTTTCTGATCAACTATTTTTTAATAATAGATTTCTGGTAGTATTATTTTTTGAACTTTTTATGATACCTTAGTTTTTTTCTGTCTACATCATATTGATCTTAAGCATTTCCTTCAATGAGTTTAACAAACTTGAAGCTACGGTTACTCATTTTTTCTAGAGTTGTTCTGATTGGTATAAAATTTGTATTTTACACTTTAATCTACTTATAATTAGCATGCTTATAATTATATTTAAACATATACTGTAATTTATAAGACTTTTAAACTTGAAGTTTATGAATTAGTTCAATAAACTATAAATTATTAAAGCGATAAATAAATTAATTTACTTTTTTAAAAAATCAAAATTGTTTTTTTAAAACTGGCCAAAGTATTAAATGCAATGCTGCTAGATAGTTTACGCACTCTTATATAGTTATAATTAGCACTATCAACTTTTGTATGCCATTCAACCAGGTTGCTATGTATGCAGATCCAAATCCACCTTCGCCAATTTTTACAATATTACTTAGTCTATCAAATGGAATCCATCTTCATATACGTGGACTCTAGGCTAGAATTCTTTTATGCAATCATCAATATATTTATTTTCAAATGCCCACCTTATTGCTATATTAGGGTTACACAATAAAAACCACACTTTCTTTATTGGTGTTATCTTTATTACAAATGCACATTTCCAATATCAACAAATTTATTCATACAGTTCTCAGATAAAAAAAAGATGTGTCAGATTACTTATGAACTACTACTAAAAATACAGAAATATTGACATTAAATGTTACCTGTTCAGATATATTTGTATACTCTTCGCACTAAAGGTTATAACTTAAGTAAAAAAGCAGTACTCTCATTATACTAAATAAATTTATGATTTTGATTAGCTAGTCGACACATGGATCTAGAATTATCTGATTAGTGGTCTTTTGCTATAAAAGAGTAATCGACACTATCCAAATATGGAAAAATCCCTGACTGTAATGTGAAGGGATGAGTGGAAGTTGAAGGCTAAGTGCTTAATTTAGTTAAAGAATATTAGAATTTAGATTAAGAGGGATTGGGAAATTGTTTTTGGGAGAGTATTGATTTGGCAGATAATATTGCTAAGTTTTTTGAGGCTAGTATGTAGTAGAGAGGCTTTACAGGAAAACACATATTGAAAGTTGTGAATAGTAAATTTTTTATTAGAAATGTATTTAAGTGCAGCTGAGATAATACTGGTTTGGATCTTATGCCAGGTAGATTCGATAGATTCATTAGTAAGTACAGAGAGAGGAGTAGAGTTAGAAAGGAGATTGGTATGAATCTGATTTAAGAAATTCTCCTATTTATTGGAGTTCATTGCTTTATAGTTAAAGACTCTTTGATGGGTTTGAGTTTTGTGTCTGCGTTGGCCTGATAGAGCATAAGGAAATGACTAGCGAGAAATTAAGATCTTGTAATTACTGAGTGAATTAGTATTAGTATCATCTATTTCAAAGGAGGTAAGGTAAGTAAAGATTGTATAGTAACTCCAAATATAGTTAATTTTACTACTATATCTCGAGCTTTGCTATGTAGAGGAGGAGGAAGAAGTGTGAGTAGCAAGATTATACATATTGTTAAAGGTAAGGAATTGAAAGAGTTTAAATTTGTTAGAAGGAGGGGTGTTGTATTTGTAGAAGTATTAAAATCTCTAAGAATAATGGGGAGTAGGTTGGAGGAGATTGCTTGTTGAATTCATTGTATAATAAGATTTTGAATTTTTAATCTTGCAGTTGAGTTGTTGCTTGGAAGATAAATAGAGATAATACAAAATTTGAAATCATGTTTGAAAAAGAAATCTATAAATAAAGCATATCCAGAATAGCTATCAATCTTGTAAATATGTATTGTAAGATGATTTTGAATCATAATGGCAATACCTGCTTTAGACATGTCTGTACAGGACCAATGGTATATATAAAATTGAGTTGAGTAAAGTTTAGAGTAATATGGGATGTGAGCAAGTTTGGTCTCTGTTAAGCAAATAATGTCAAGTTTGTTGACTAGACAGTATTCTTTCCAAACTTGTTGTTTGAGCTGTTGATTAAATCTATAGATATTGTGAGTACAGATAGAAAGGTTGAGGGGGGAGGCAGTTGAGTGAGAAGGAGTACATAAGGTAGTAGTAGAGTTGAAAAAGTAATGTGAAGAGGATTTAAAGAGAATAAAAGGCTTAAGAAAAATAATTTCAAGATAGGGTATAATTGTATAATCAGAAAGTGGGCAAGATTCTCCTGGAAGATAGATATGAGCTTCACTGTAGTTATTTTTAATTGATATGGCAATTTTGTCTTGGATGTTGCTCCATAGACCAGTTTTGAGTAGATGTAAGAAAAAGGAGTTGAGAGTTTGAGGAGATGGAATTGGGAAAAGTTGTAGTGGTATAAGGAATTTGTTAAAACAAGTAAAAGATTCAAGAGGGGTAGGAGGAAGTGTAACTTGAACTTAGAAGTGTCTTCTACAGAGTTACTTACCGTATATCCAGCTTTCACAGTTCTGCAAGAGTTAAAAATACTTTGGTTTAGTGTTAAAGTACCATCATTATCAAACTCTTCCAGGTATAATTCTAATATTATTTGCTCTTGGTTTTCAATATTTCATTGAAACTTTGTGATCATAAGAAGCTCTTTATTTTTTTGTTCTTGCAATTGTTGCTGCAATACTATAATTATACATTTATAGTTTTTCAAATACATTAATTTTATATATAATTCATCAACTTCTTTATAAATATTAGAATTGTAAGTAGAACTATTAGAACTAACTTTAGATTAGACTCTCTTATTTTTAAAAGTAGAATTATTTGAAAAGTGGTAATAAAAATGATTAGTAGAAATAACTTAATTATAATGTTTTTCACAAGTTGAGTATAGATACAAATAAAGGTTAAGTTTAGGCATATAATCTATATATAATTTAAGCCAATTAGTGGTGGTTGGTGAATTGGCATATCTTCAGACTTGTAATTCTTTTGTTTTACAGGATCTTAACCCAATTTTACTATATGTGCTAGCTATTGTACTAAACATATAAGGAAGATCTTTGGCTCTTGGCTTCTCTACAACTAGTAAAGATTGCAACATCATTATCAGGCTTTTATACAAGTGTTTTAATAATAATAAAAAAAACTTAGTATATTATATAAAACTTAAACATAAAACCTTTATTCTTTTTGGGTCTTATTTATCTTTTTGAAAAAAGTTGATCAATGAAAAATAAAAGCTGATTATGCAAATATAAGTTTTTAACTTTTGATTTAAATATCAACTTGTAAGATTCGATACATGAAAGCCTCTAAATTTTGGCTCCAAGATAGCCTAACAACAGGTGTCATGATCTAATTATAATGCAGAGATTTTTTGAAAATAATTCTAGAACTGTTTTAGAACTGTTTTCCAAATTTTATATTTCTTGACTGTATTATATATGTCACATATCAAAATTAAATTTTTGTAAGTTCTGAGTCAACTTGTGTTGCAATGGAATTTTAAGCTGACCCAATTAGTTAGAAGATTCAAAACCCACTTAATATGTTAATTTGAAATAATTCTAAATTTTAATTATTATCAAAATTAATAAAATAATCTTATATAAAAAAAAAAGTAAACAAGATTGAATTTCTTATTCATCAAATCATTCACATTCAGACTACAAAATCTTGAAATAACTGTATTGCAACTTTTTAAAGTTGAATCAAATTTTGCTGGTATGTCCTGTAATAGAATACATAATATACTTTAGTTTACATAAAGAGGTTTGAATATATTAGTTCTTCAAACTATGGGATATGATATGAAATTTAAATTTAGACTTTAAATTAAAGAATATTTTTTATATATGGGGTATATCGGTAGAAATGCACCAAATTTTTTTGATGAAATATATATATATCAGTGTTGGCTTGACCAGACCAGTTTGACCATGGACTGGACCAATTTGACCAATTTGACTAGTCTGGTCAAAGAATCTGTGCTGATCAAATTGGTCAAATAGTATATTTAAATATAATTTTATTATATAATATATATATTATATTTATATAATAGATTTGTCCAATCTGACCAGTTCGACCATTTGACCAATTTGACCAGTAAATTTTTGGTCGACCACTAATTTGCCCAACACTGAT